AGAGGGGGAGAGAGAGGAAAGCAAGAAAGGAGGGCTGGATTGGCAATCGCCTCTTCCTGGTCTTCCTGATTCCACTCACCCCAGTCCCCCAGCTCCACCCGACACTCTCATCTCTCCTCCCCCCCCCCCCCCCCCGCCCCAACCCTCTCTGGCCATCAGTCCTTCTCAGAACAGCTAGCAGAATCTTCTTTCAAAATATAATCCCATCACACTGTTTCCAAACTTCAACACCTCCAAGGACTTACTTCCCAGAGCATTTACACGTGGAAACGCCGTGGGACCTGTGGGCTTCCTCACTGCAGGCTGGCTGCCAGCTCTGGACCGCCTCCGCCCCCTCCTCACCCACCCTGTGCCCACCACAGGGCCTCCAGTGCACCCACCCTGGCCCCAGGCCATTTGCACTGCTGGCTCCTCCGCCCAGAACAGCTGCCCAGAGCTCTGCCTGGCTGCCTCCCTCCCCAGCCTCAGGCTGGCCCGCCCCTGCACCCCGGGCTAGAGCAGTTCCGCCACCTGGTTCACATTTGTGGGTCTGAAATTACCTTCTTTATTTCTTTTCTTTTTAAAATGCTGTCTCCCCCTGCTTGCGCCTCAGGGACCTCTGGCTACCTTATTCAGGGTGGCATTTCTTAGCCCCTGTAGACGCAGATGGCAAAACAGGTGTCACTGAGATGTACCTCCTACGCCAGAATGTCAGCTCTACAAGGGCGATGATTTCTGTGCCTCGCTCACAGCCCTGACCCTAGTTAGAAGAATAATTGACAGAGAGCAGGTGCTCAGTAAAGGAGTGAATGGCTGGATGTTGACTGTCTCTTACCAGATGTGAGCCTGGGGGTGGGGAGAGGGCAGTGCGCCTGGGTCTGCCTTTCCTTCCGGCATCCTCCACCCACACTCCCCACTGCCCCCACTTCCGGCTTCACTCTCACCTGCCTGGGTGCCCACCCCTCATTCCCAAATAGCGCAGATCTCCGGACGGCGCAGAGGAGGGGACTGTCTCCTCTGGGTTCCTTACCAAATTGCTAGCTTGCTGCGTCTCTAAAAGCGAGCTGCTGGAAGGACTCAAAGAGGAGGAGAAGGCCCGGGAGCAGCAGCCTCTGAGTCATGGCCCAGAGGTGCTGGTGGCATTCCTAAGGTCCGGCTAAACGCCAGGCTCTGCCATGTGACTGCCTGTGACGCCGGCCGGGAGGGCCGGTGGCTGGTGTGGCTGCCAGGCCCGGCCCTGACAGGAGAGGCTGTGCGGGCTGCAGGCCGCAGAGGCGGAGGAGCGAGCAAGGGGCCGGGGTGGACGTTCTTTGGCCTGCGCTCCTGGGGCTGCCCTCAGAGTAGTCCGGGCTCTGGCAAGATCTGGGTTCAGCCCCAGCTCTCCTGCTTACCGGCTGTACGATCTCGGGCAGACTTCATAGCTTCTCTGAGCCTCAGTTTCCCCACCTGCAGGACATCACAGGGGTGGTGCAAGGCTTAAACATCAGGCATTGCACTTCGTATGGAACAGGCGCCGAATGAGCAGGAGCTGTTACCGTCTTTAGAATCAGAAGATCTTGGAGTGAGAGGGGTTTCAAAAGATGCTCTCGTCGGATCCAGTTGTATATTGTTACTAATAAACATTTTTGTTACTGTCGGATGCGACTCTCCCCTCCTCAGCTCCGGGGAAGAATTCCGATGAGTGACAGACAGCAGTGCTGAGGCAAAGCGAGGGAATTCATTAAGGAGGCAGAGCAAGCTGACTGGTTAGGGAAGCGCAGCAAGCAGGTTTATTATGAGTGCACTTGGCACAGAGCACAAGCGGGCAGTTCAGCTAGTTTAGCCTGTGGGGTCAAGGGTTTCAAATTTTTCCCCTTGTCGGCTTCAAGGTTCCCCTTTTACATTATCGCAGCTTTTCCCGGAATTCACAAGAACACTTGGCGATTTTATCTTGGCAAATCCCAAGACTGCTGACTTCTTGTTCAGCGGGCGAGGTCAACGCCCCCTTTCTCCCCCCCCCGCCCCCCCGCCCCTGCTTCCACACCCCCCCTCCCCCGGCAGTTATCCTTCCTGCCTAACATCCCCCCTCAAGTGACACCATGTCAATGCTTTGGGGGCTCTTCATCTGAGGGCACAGGTAGCATTAGGTGGGTCTTGTTCTCTGTGTCCCCAGGCCGGTGACTTAAGCTAAGTGTTCTCTGGGTAAGCCAGAGTGCACAGCCAACAGTACCATCACCTCTGCGTGCGGCAGCCCAGCTCCTCTTGCTTAATAAGTTAAAAAAGGATTTTGTGGCAGCAGGTTGCTCTCACTGTAGAGTCTCTCCTTGTCCTTTAACAACAGGACCCCAAGCTTTAGCGGGACACATGAAAACCCAAACGAAAACTACATTTCCCCGTCTCCCTTGCAGCTAGCTACAGTCATGTGTACAAGTTTTTTTTTTCCAAGAGAACATAGTTCATGCTGCCTGTAGGTCATACCCTTTGCAGACTAAGTCAGTCCAATCAGGATCCATCTTGGGGTGTTTGCTAAGAATCCTGGGACAGATATTCCCTCTCTCTGGAAGGCACAACATGCATGGGTGAGGTGGGTTTGTGGGTAAGAGCCTGCTCCAGAGCAACAGGCCTGGGTCCAAATCCCGGCCCCACCCTTACTGTGAACCCTTGAGAAGGATTACTGAGCCTCACCTCCCTGTTTGTGAAATGGGGGTGATTGTATATTACCTTGCTGTAACAGTGAGTTAATACAGATTAGAAAGCACTTTGTATAATGTCTGGGACGTAAGTTGTCAGTTAACCCTAGCTGTTTTCTGTTTTTCTCTTTAAATATATTTTATTGATTTTTTACTGAAAGGAAGGGAGAGGGATAGAGAGCTAGAAACATCAATCAGCTGCCTCCTGCACACCCTTCGGGCTTGTGCCCGCAACCAAGGTAAATGCCCTTGACCGGAATCAAACCCGGGACTTTTCAGTCCGCAGGCCGACGCTCTATCTCCTGAGCCAAACCGGTTTCAGCGATCGTGCTATATTTTAATGTCAAGTGCTTTCTCTCAGCAGCAGTGATGAGCTGGTTTTGACACAGTTCTTTATTGCCCCGCTGGGATGCTCACTGACCTCCCCATTCCTTTGGGGTGACTCTGCCAACAGGGGACAGATTCCTTTCTATTCCACTACGTGTCACTGTACATGTCCATGTACAACACAGAGGCTTGGCTCCAGTGAATACAGCATGACCATATTTGTCATGGAAATCCAGTGTCCGCTCTGGTGGGCCTGTTCGCACTGAGAGACGGCTTAGCAAGTGTTGGGTCATGGAAACTTCTTGAAGCTGAAGACGGAACTGCAGCAACGGCAGCTGCCGGTTTGTTGGAACTCCGCGCCAAGCACCCTTCTTTTATTTATAGACTAGAGGCCCGGTGCACAAAGTTCGTGCACGGGGTGGGCGTGTCCCTCAGCCCAGCCTGCACCCTCTCCAATCTGGGACCCCTCGAGGGATTTTCAACTGCCTGTCGGACATCCCTCTCACAATCCAGGACTTCTGGCTACCAACTGCTCACCTGCCTGCCTTCCTGATTGTCCCTAACTGCTTCTACCTGCCAGCTTGATCACCCCCTAACCACTCCCATGCCAGCCTGATTGATGTCTAACTGCTCCCCTGCCAGCCTGTTTGCCCCCAACTTCCCTCCTCTGCCAGCCTGGCCACCCCTAACTGCCCTCCCCTGCAGGGTTGATCGCCTCCAACTGTCCTCCCCTGCAGACCTGGTCCCTCCCAACTGCCCTCCCCTGCTGGCCATCTTGTGGTGGCCATCTTGTGTCCACATAGGGGCAGGATCTTTGACCAAATGGGGGCAGCCATCTTGTGTGTTGGAGTGATGCTCAATCTGCATATTACTCTTATTAGATAGGATAGAGGCCTGCTGCATGGATGGGAGCCAGCTGGTTTGCCCTGAAGGTTGTTCTGGATCAGGGTGGGGGTTTCCTTGAGCTGTGGGGTGGCCTGGGCGAGGGGCTTGTGGTGGTTTGCAGGCTGGCCACACCCCCTGGTGACCCAAGTGGAGGCCCTGGTATCTGGAATTTATTTACCGTCTACAATTGAAACTGTAGCCTGGAGCGGAGCCAAGCCTCCTGCTTGCTCCTTGGTGGCAGCCATTTCTGTTTGGATTTGTTTACCTTTTATAATTGAAACTTTGTATCCTTGAGTGGAGGCCTATGCCGGCCAGGGCAGGTAGAAAGCTTGGCTTCCTCCATTGCCAGAGGAAAACCCTAGCTGTTTTCTCCAGCTCCGTGGTTGCTGCCATTTTTCTTGAGATTTATCTTCTATAATTGAAACTATGTATCCTTGAGTGGAGGCATAGGCGGGCCAGGGTGTGTGGAAAGCTTGGTTTCTTCTATTGCCAGGGAAGCCCAAGCCTCTCAACTGCTCTCTGTGGCTGCAGCCATCTTGGTTGGGGTTAATTTGCATACTCACTCTGATTGGCTGGTGGGCGTAGCAGAGTGATGGTTAATTTGCATATTGCTGTTTTATTATGTAAGATTAGGTAGGATATACTTGCAGTAGAAAGAGAACTGGCTGATTCTCCAAGGGGTACCCTCGGACAAATCAGGGAGCTCTCTGAGCCTGTTTCTTTATCCATAAAGGGGAACTGGTCACCTCTCTGAGCAGCGGTATCAGCGCACTCGGCGCCTCTCCAACCGCACACGAGCATCTGTGCATCCACACTTCATGCACATCCTCACAAGTCCTCCCCCATGGCCTCTCCCCCCCCCCCCCTTGCACAGTGCTCACATAGTCCCTCTCAGTCCCTCCTACTACACAGCCACCTCCAGGTGCATTCTTCAGCTCTGCCGCTTCCACACAGCCCTCCACCCCACCCCACCCCACCCCACACATCCCACCCTATCCCTTCCCAAGCGCTGCCCTGAGGCCGCCAGCCTCCTCCCTGGCCAAACCCCAGGGGAAGCTCTCTCAGGCTCCAGCCCCCCCTCTCACAGGCCCAGATGGGGTGAGCGCCACCAGGTTCCCTCTGCCAGGAAATGCACAGAGGCCAGGGCCGGAGAGTGACTTTAATGTGTCTGAGCTGGACCGGGAACAAGATGGGGTCTCCGAGGCCGCTGGCCGAGGGAGGGAGGAGGACGGCCGTGTCCCCGCATCGCCCTAAATCATAGAGCACCGTCGGGGACAGCTCGGGTCCTTGGGAATGCAACGCAAGGCCCCTCGGCAGGGGCATATGATGTTGATGTCCCTCTTGGTCTGTGGGAAGTGAGTGTGAGAGTTGGGGTCACCAAGCTTCCGGGAAGAAGGGGGTTTAACTTCTCGAGGAGCACAAGTCATGGTGAGTGGGACCTGAGGCCTGTCCGCTCTGCAGCTTATACCTTCAGGACCTTAGGCAACTTTGTCTCCGTTTCCTCATCTGTCAGAGGAGCTAATCATTGTAACCCACCTCCTACGGCTAGTAAGGATTAAATGAAATAAGTTTGATCAGTGCTCACAATGAAAAGAACCTCGGGCCACCTCTGCGAGAGTCAGGCCAGGGCGGGGCCTGGCTGCTCCCACGGGCACTGGCTGGCAGCTCCCAGACAGGACCTCGCGGGCCGGCCCAGGGCCAGAGGAGAGGAGGCGGGCAAGAACAGGATGTACTGTGCACGATGACCCCCCTCCCCAACCCCCCCCTCCCCATTTCCACCAGCTAATAACCAGCATGCGCAGCTGAGCTGTCGCTGCCAGGAACACATCCTCTTCCCAACAACCTGGTGGGGGAGGTCTGTAACCCCATTTTACAGATGAGAAAACCAAGGCCAGAGAACAGAAGTGCCCTGTCTGAGGGCTCTGCACTCAGGGCCGCTCCAAAGCTGGACCCCTGCCATTGAAAGCCTGCTGCTCTCCGGAGTGAGGTCAGGGTGGCAGGGTGGGGGTCGCTGGGGAGAATGGCTTTCCCACCCTGCCTCAGGTGTTCATTCAACACACATTTGTTGCGCGGGCACTAAGCTGAGGGGTGGGGGCTCAGAAATGAGTGTGCTGCCATCTGCCCTTGAACGGCTCTGAGCGCAGCCGAGGACTCAAACGAATGGCCATCAGAGAGGCCGGGCCCTGCGGAGGGTCTGGGCCGGGCGCGGGATTTCAAGGAGAGAAGGCCTGTCAGGGAGTGGCAGGCAGTGCAGGAGGAGGAGGAGGGCACGCGGGTGAAGAAGCCGGGGCAGCCATGTGGGCTCTTATCCTTCCACCCCAGTGCCTCACCTGGGGCAAGCACACCATGCTTTTCCTGCCCCTGGGGGCACAGAAGTCGCCTTCAGTGTCCAAGTTCATGAGGCAGCAGTCGCTGGAGCACTCCAAGTGGTGGGAGCACCGAGCTCCATTCCTCTGTGGGGAAGCCCTGCATCACCAGCTCTCCCGGGAGGGCGGGGAGGGCGGGGGAGGGCAGGGGAGGGCAGGGAAGATGAGGGGGAGGGCGGGGGCGAGGCGGGGGAGGGCGGGAGGAAGGTGGTGGAGGACGGGGGAAGTGGGGGGAGGTGGGGGAGGGCGGGGGAGGGAGAGGGGAAGCTCTTGCCACAGCCCAGGGTGGGAGAAGAGAAGCCCTGAGATGTCACTCCCAGGGGCCACCCCACAGCGTGCCCCTGCCCCAGCCCTCACCTCCCTCTCCTTCCCGGGGCCTCATTGCCACGGGCCCCAAAGGGTGTCCTGAGCTGGGGAGCAGGGACCCCAGATCACACTCCGGGGGGTGTGGGCAGACGGTCGGGAGAGAGCTGGGAAAGGGAGGAGAGCTCACTGCGCCCAGAAGAGGGGGACAGGGGGGACAGAGCAGGTGGGTAAGGCGTGGCTGGGACCCGGCGCTGGGAGGGGGCGCTGGGAAGGGGGCGCTGGGAGGGGGTGCCGGGTGCGGGTCCTGCTGGCCACAGGCGCTGCCTTTGTCCAGGCGCCCAGGGAGGTGAAGGGCCCGGGGCGCGGGGAGCACGTCCAGCCGCCGGCCTGGCCGCAGCGCGTCTGCGGGTCCCCCACCCCCTGCCCCGCGGCTCCCTCCCCGGCACCCCACCCCACCCCGGCGGCGGGCGCACCTTCAGGAGGCTCTGCCTCCGGAGCGGCGGCAGGGAGCCCCCGCAGGGGAGCAGCAGCCCCGCCAGGATGGCGAGCGCCGTGGCCATGGCCGTGGCCGCGGGATGGAGCGCCTCCGGGGCACGGGACTCGGAGGGGGTGCGAGCGGGTCCGGAGTGAGGGCGGGGACGGCGGGCCGGAGGGGGTGCGGGAGTCCCCGGGGTGAGGGCGGGGCCGCGGCAGGAGGGGGTGCGGAGCCCGGTGGGGGGGGGGGGGAGGGCGGGCCGGAGGGGGTGCGGAGCCCGGTCCCCGGGGGGGTGGGCGGGGGGGGGGGGAGGGCGGGGACGGCGGGCAGGAGGGGGTGCGGGAGTCCCCGGGGTGAGGGCGGGGCCGCGGCAGGAGGGGGTGCGGAGCCCGGTGGGGGGGGGGGGGAAGGGCGGGCCGGAGGGGGTGCGGAGCCCGGTCCCCGGGGGGGTGGGCGGGGACGGCGGGCCGGAGGGGGTGCGGGGGTCACGGGGGGAGGGCGGGAACGGCACCTGCTGCCCAGCGCGGAGGCGAGCCCCGCGGCCTGCCCAGCCCCGGAGCGGAGGGCGGGGAGCACGCAGCCCGCTCAGCCTGGGACGGGCCTGATTGTATAGATTGGGGGCCCAGGGCCTCCTAGATATCGCTTCCAGAGAAAAACTTAAAGCTGTAACGGGAAACTTGTTCCTGAAAATTTTTGCAAAACGTATAAACCGAAATGGAAACCGCTTCCTTCTTGGTATTCTGACCCTCCGTCCGCGGGCGCACCCTCCCCTTTGGGGTGACCCGGCCCAGACCCTCCCCGCCCGCCTCGCCAGCTGTGAGACTTCCTCCTGAGTCATCGCCTGTCCAGGGATTCGCCTGTGAGGTGTGGGGGCGAGAGAGGAGGAGAGAGGAACCTCAGGGGGAGGAGGAGGGCCAAGGGCATCCGGACCTGGGCAGCAGCCTTTCCGGGACCAAGCTCCCACCTCGCCCAGCTGCCTGCTCCTGCCCTGGCCGGTTTGGCCCAGCGGATATACACCCTCCGGCGGTGGACTGAGGGGTCCCCCCTTGATTCCTGGCAAGGGCACCACCCTGGTACCTGGGCTCGGGTCAGGAGTGCGTTTGGAGGAACCAATAGATGTGTCTCTCTCACATGGATGCTTCTCCCCTCCACTCTCTCTAAAAATCAATGCGAGTATGTCCTCTGGTGAGGATTAACAAAATAAAGTGCTCGTGAGAAAAGATGAGAGGAGCTCTGTCTTTTTCCCCCGTAACTATTTCAATAGTTTTTCAAGATCTGCCCCCCCCCCCGGCCCCGCCCACAACACCAGCACAGTGGTTCCCTCGCGGGACGCCGCAGCTCCAGCGGCAGTGGCTGCACACGGTAAGAGCTGGGACGGCCAGCATGGCCCACTGGTTGAGTGTTGACCTATGAACCAGGTGTGTTGATTCCAGATCAAGGCACTGGTTAGGTCCCCAGTGGGGGCCGTGCAGGAGGCAACTGATCCATGGTTCTCATCCTTGATGTTTCTATCTCTCCCTTCCTCTCTGAAATCAATAAAAATATGCATGTTTTAAAGAGTTGGAGTGCTGGAGGGCAAAAGCTAGGCCCACTTTTCTGGACTTCAGGATGGTGCCAGCCTCCACCCTCCCCACCAGCAAAATGCCCACTAGCCCTGGGTACTGTGAGGACAGAGGCCCCTAACGTGCCTCAGTGCCTGGCACCTCCCGGGTGCTCCCTAAGTCAACTGTTGAAGGTGTGAAATGGGGGTGAAGCATGCCTTTGGCAGCCCCTCCGAGCCTGGGATTCAGCCCCTGGGCCCGCTGAGTACATGTCAAGTCAACTAAGTGGAAGTTATTCCCCAGGCCCCAAGCTGGTACCAGCAGAGACAGGCCACTGGGTTATAGGAAACGAGCCAGGGGTCACCACACACGCCACCATCACTCATTGGGAGGAAGCCCTGGGCTTCCTGCAGCCTCTATGAGCATCTCCGGGAATTCCAATGGTTAGATTAACCACTCGGGAAATGTGGATGGTCCCAGCAGTCACTAGCCCAGTGGTCGGCAAACTCATTAATCAACAGAGCCAAGTATGAACAGGACCCAGAGAAGGGAGCTGTCTGCCAGTCGGAGAGAGCTCTTACCCAAACCCCCTGATCTCGCTTCCAGCTTCCAGACCTGGGAGGAGAAGTGTCTCTCGTTTAAGCCACCCTGTCTGTGGTGTTTTGCTGTGGCAGCTGAGCTGTCTGTTACAGGGGCTTTGGCCTTTTCTTTAGGAATAGCAGCCTGCCAGGCTGGTGTGGCTCAGTGGTTGAGCATTGACCGATGAACCAGGAGGTCACGGTTCAATTCCCCACATGCCCAGATTGCAAGCTTAGTCCTCAGTAAGGGTGTGCAAGATGCAGCCGATCAATGATTTTCTCTCATCGTCGATGTTTCTATCTCTCTCCCTCTTCTCTGAAATCAATAAAAATATTTTTTTAAAAAAAGAACAGCCCCACAGTTCTGAGAGGGTTTTGTGTCCATTGCCTCAATCCGTCCTCCCTGCATTAGGGTAGTCAACGCTAGTGGTCACAACTGAGAACTCCTGAAGGCACAGAGATGCCTTCTTTGCCACACACGTGGAGTGTGAGACGGGGCGGGAGACCGTTCTCTCACCTGCAGCCATGCCAACCATGGTCATCGTGGAAGATGGAACAGACAGAGGGAGAGACACAGGGACCCTTGAAGGCTCAGGCAGTGTGACACAGGCCTCTTCCGCAGACCACCGGCCAGAACTGGTCACATGACCCCACCTTCTGCAAGGGAGGCTGGGCAGTTACGGGAATCTGGAGCATTTGGTGTATTCTATCATTTCTGCTTCATAACTCGTATGCCCACCTACAGATGAGGGTCAAGGTTGAGCCACAGGCCCTAACAGCACAAAACATTACAGAGGCAGCTGTAACCCCCAGGGCGCTAGCTGCTGAGCCTGCTCTTCCCACGCCCCCCCACCGCCTCGGGCGGCCAGAAGGCCATGTCCCCGGTGCTGTCATCGCTGTGTCCCTCTAGCAGTCACAGCGTGAGACTCTTCAGACCAGGGCCTGCCGCTGAGGTCAGCTGTTCACCTGTCCGTGAAGTTCGCTGTGTCTTCCACCTCCACTGCGAACTGGCCAGGAGCCCCGGGGCTGATAAGGCTCTGCACAGATCTCTCTGCACAGATCTCTCTGCACAGATCTCTCTGTACAGTCACTCTGCCCTGCGCATTGGTGCTGCCGCCGTGCGTGGAAGGAACTGGAAAGCAGTGCTGACGCCCAGTAAAGGGAGGATTTGGAGGCCAAGGCCAGCAGCTGTGTCCTAATGGGCAGACTGGGATCCTTGATCTGGGGCCCAGGGGCCCCTGGGAAGTTTATTGAAGGCCCAGAGGGAGGTGTCTTTGAAATTCTCGGCAAAACATCTTATGCATGGCTTTCACAAATTATTTTTTAATGTATTTCTTTATTGATTTCAGAGAGGAAGTGGGAAGGAGAGACAGAAGCATCAACGATGAGAGAGAATCATTGGTCAGCTGCCTCCTGCACACCCCCTACTGGGAATCGAGCTCAACCCAGGTGTGCCCTTGGCCAGAACTGAACCCGAGACCCTTCTGTCCGCAGGCCAACGCTCTATCCACTGAGCAAAGCTGGCCAGGGCAACAAATTATTTTCGGCAGAGGACTGCGGTTCTCCTTGAGACCAGTTCAGAATGTTGATTTTAAGGTGAGGAAACTGAGGCCCAGAGAAGGAAGGCCTTCCCCCAGTGACTCAGCACAGCCAGGCCTCCCCTCCGGCTCCCTGCTCCGAGTCCTGCGCTCTTTCTCTCGGGTCAGCAGCCTGTCCAAACCGGCTGGTGCTGGCTGCAAGCATGAGCCCGGACACCTCTGCGCAGTGAGGAGGGCGGGAGCAGGTCACAGGGTCTCTGGGGCAGTGGGGTGGTCGCTGAGCCACTTGACCTGTGGATGTGGCCACAGCTTTGCCAGTTGGTCAGGGCCCACGCCTGGCCACCCCAGCCTTGTATGAGAGAATGGGGGCAGCTCAGGTCAGGGGAGCCCCTCCTGGGAGACCATTACCCCGTCCTATTCCCTGTCCTTTCCCCTCCCCTCCTCTGACATTCTCCGGGGTCTCTTTTTCTTTCCTGCTTCTTTCTAGTGGTTTCCATGACAATGTTCTTACTGGTCTACAGCAAAATGGGAAAAAATAATAATAAGGGTAATTTTTTGGTTAAAAATAAATGTATTGAACTTAAATAATGATCCTTCATTCTGAAATTACATCCTCCCTACTTCTCAGGGGTCACTATGTTTCTATGAAACAATGGCAATAGCACAACGGTCCTTTTGTTTGGTTTTCCATGTCATTGCTTGGTTGTTATATATGTTGTTAAATATATACATAGTGAGAGAGATTCCCCATAATTTAGGAAAGTTTTCTTGGTCTGCAAAACCCACGATAAAATCCTGAGAACGGATACCACTGTGACCCAGCGCGTTCCTGACGGCGACCTGGGAGTGCCGCGGGGGCCCGGGGGCCGGGGGGGGGGGGGGGGGTGGTTAGGGTGGTTGGGGTGTGAGGTGTGCAGACCGCAGAGGCTCCTGGAGAAGAGGACCTCGGGGGATGTTCCAGGCGACCAGTGGAGGCACCAGGCAGAATGCCCGCAGCCCTGCTGCCCGCAGGCAGGCTCTCTTGCCAGAAGGGGCTGGGCTGGGCCAGCTGAGAGAGCAGCCTCCTGAGCAGGTGCCGCAGAGGCGAGAGGGCGAGTGCAGGAGGACTCAGCGAGGACGGTGTCCGCTCAGGGCACAGAGCCCAGGGGGCCGGCTATGCTCCAGGCAGGCAGGGGCATGAGAGGAATCCCGTTGAGATGGCTCTTCGGTGGACAGGGGGCGGGGGCTGGCAGGGCCGGAGTCAGGGCAGGGACCCAGCCCCAGCCTGGGTGTGAGGGGAAGGAGGCTGCCCAGCTCTGTCTAGAGGACAAGGATGGGAGGAGGCTCCTGAGGGAGGCAGAGGCCCAGCGTGACCAACGGCCTCTCGCGCTCTCTCTCTCTCTCTCTCTCTCTCTCTCTCTCTCTCTCTCTCACACACACACACACACACACACACACACACACACACTGCAAGGGTCCGGGCTCAGAGCACATATTACTGCTTTTCAGGACAGGCTGAGAAGGGAAGGCACTGTGGGCTCAGTGGAGGAGGAAGACCTGGAGGGAGAGGACAGAGCTAACTGACCAGCAGCCCCTTGCAGACCTAGCCAGGCCCTCAGGCCCTGCGGCTTCTGCCTGGAGGACAGAGGTGGGCAGCCATACCTGGCAGGCACTGCCCCCCCCCCATGGAAACAGATGGAGCTCCTCAGAGGGAATCCCCACCACCTCCATGTTCAGTCCACAGTGGGCTCCACACAGCAGAGGGATGCCCCAGCCTGGGGCCTGCCCACACTGCCTGAGTGCAGGGCGCATGCGTAGACTCACTGACACAGATGGCCCGCCTCTCCTCCCGCCCAGTGAGTTTCTGGGCCATGTTAGTCCTCAGCCCCTCGCCCACTTCAGGGAGCCAGGAGGTAATCATGATTCCTTTAGCTGCAAGTGAAAGAAACTAACTTTTTTTTTTTTTTAATGTTTTTTATTGATTTCAGAGAGGGAGAGTTAGAAACATCAATGATGAGAGAGAATCATTGATTGGCTGCCTCCTGCACATAACCTACTAGGGATCAAGCCCAGAACCTAGGCATGTGCTCTTGACCAGAATTGAACCCAGGACTCCTCAGTCCACAGGCCAATGCTCTATCCACTAAGCCAAACCAGCCAGGGCAGAAACGAGCTTATCTATATATATAAAAGGCTAATATAAGAAGTGTCCCCTCAGGAGCTGGACCAGGAGTTCAATCACTCACTGTGACTTGTGCTGACCACCAGAGACTCAGAATGAAGGAAAGCCCCAGCTGGCAGCTGGAAGATCCTGATCAGCCCTGATCGCAGGTCAGGCCTAGGGACCCCACCTGTGCATGAATTTTGTGCACCGGGCCTCTAGTTTAAAAAATAAAAACCAAAAGAAACAATACTGGGTCAGCAGCTATGTGAGGCTGGCTTCAGGGTCCCAGAGACACACATTGCTGACACCAGATGTCTTTCTCCCTGGCTTCAGCCTTCACACTCACCCTCATTCTCTGCCTTTCTGGACAGGGGGTGGGGAGGGCAAAGCTGTACAAAGCCCCTAGCATCTCCCTTCAACACCCATACATAAAACTCTAGATAACTTTGGCCCAAGTTAGGCCAATCATGTGGCTGGGGCTGGGGGACTGGGGGGCTGGGGACAGGGGGAGGCGGGTACTAGGGGGATAGGGCCTGGTATTAGCAGAACCTCCTGGAACCTGGGCAGAGCAGGTTCTCAAAGGCAGGGGAGATGTGGCTCCTCATGGGAATGGAGGCGGCAGGCAGAAACACAGGTGTCTGCAATATCCCAAGTTGCAGCACACTGAGGCTGCCCTGGGTGAGTTACAGACATGCTCCTTTCGCCAGGGGCAAAGGAGGGTCCTCAGAAACCTGAGCCCACTGCCTCCCACCCCAAAAGAGCTTTACGCTATGCTCCATAGACCAGTAGAATTCAACCACTTTTTAAATTACAAAAGATCTATTTTATGCTGGCATTCAAACAGTAGATACTGTTGGCTCGATCCCCACTAGGGGACGTGCAGGATTCAGCCCACGGATGCTTCTCTCTCATCGATGTTTCTCTCTCGCTCGCTTTCCCTTCGTCTCTCTGAAATCAATAAAGACATATTTTTTAAAAAATAAAGTCACTATTTTTACTCCTTCCCTCCCTGTTTATGTTTTTGTCATTATTTTTTCTCACTTTGTGTGTGTCAGTGTGTACCCCTTAATTTGCTGTTGTAATTACACATCATCTTCCTACTTTTGCCCATTAACCTTTGTACTAGTGTCAGTGTTGGCTGATCCACTGCTTTTATTACAATATATTTGCCTTTGTCAATGAGAATATTTTTTGCAACATTTTGTTATGCAGATTTTTTACTTTTATTTTTTTGTTCTCCTTAAGAAGAAGTCCCTTTAGCATTTCCTGTAATGCTGGTTTGGTGGTGGTGAACTCCTTCGCTTTTTCTTGTCTGGGCTTGATATGCTGTTTTGTCATAATTTGTTGCACAGCAACAAAGAACCACCCATGCCCTCCCCACCTCATTGCCCACTGCCAGTCCTCCTGTCATCACCACCAGCCAACTGTTACCAGGTGCCTGCCCAGAGCAGGCCCACTGCTAAAAGAACAAATTTGGCCCTGACCGGTGTGGCTCAGTGGATAGAGCATCGGCCTGTGGACTGAAGGGTCCCAGGTTCGATTCCAGTCAAGGGCATGTAGCTTGGTTGTGGGCACATCCCCAGTGCGGGGAGGGGGGTGCAAGAGGCAGCTGATTGATGTTTCTGACTCTCTGGCCCTCTCCCTTCCTCTCAGTAAAAAATCAATGAAATATATATATATATATATATATATATATATATATATATATATAATTTAAAAAAAAAAAAAAGAACAAATGTGTTAAGATTCAAGCTTTAATTTGCCCAATGCCCAGTGAGAGGTTCACATGAGAAGGGCGGCAGGCAGCAGCACAGGTTGCAGTGGGAGAGTCGGCAGCCCAGTGCAAAGGAGAGAGAGGGGCGTGGCAGGCAGGGAGAAGCTGGCCCCTGGCTCAGGCCAGACTGGCTCCTGCGGTGTGGCTGGAGATGAGACCCAGCCTGGGAGGCTAGGGGCCGGCACGGTGGCCAGATGGTGAAGCTAATTCCTATGCGATTACCATGATAAATGGGGCCCAATGGCCATATCTCCTAGAACCATGGTCGGCAAACTGCGGCTCTGAGCCACATGTGGCTCTTTGGCCCCTTGAGGGTGGCTCTTCCACAAAATACCACGGCCTCAGTGAGCCTATTTTAAAGAAGTGGCGTCAGAAGAGGTTTAAGTTTAAAAAATTTGGCTCTCAAAAGAAATTTCAATCGTTGTCCTGTTGATATTTGGCTCTGTGGACTAATGAGTTTGCCGACCGCTGCCCTAGAACAAAACTCCACCTGCTTTGGCTGTAAGTGCACTTATACTTGCGGGGTCACGTGGCTTAGCTTTGGGGTGAGGAAAGGTTCGCTGTGGCAGTGGGGAGCCCCGGAGGTTTTTGAGGATGATGCGATGTGGGTCTAAGAGTATCCTGGAGTGATGGAGACCAGAGGTTGGAACCTCACTGCCCCAGGCCTGATGTCAGGACCCGGGATCAGCCGTGGACACTGGAGACCCGCAGCGGTGAGATGTTCAGAATGGCGGCTTGGCTGGGTGGGAGGAGCAGCGGAAGGCGAGGTCCAGCCCCCAGCTGGTGACATGGGACCACAGGGAGCTGGCTGAGAGCTCCTGGTCAGGGCTCCTGCAGGAGGCAAACCGATACATTTTCTGTCTGTCTTTCCCTCTCTCCCTAAAAATCAATGGAAAAATACCCTCAGGTGAGGATTAACCAAAAACAAAACAAACAAACAAACAAAAAGCAGCCCTAATTGGTTTGGCTCGGTGGATAGAACGTAGGCCTGCGGACTGAAGGGTCCCACGTTCGATTCCAATCAAGGGCATGTACCTTGGTTGCTGGCACATCCCCAGTGGGAGGTGTGCAGGAGGCAGCTGATCAATGTTTCTCTCTCATCGATGTTTCTACCTGTCTATCCCTCTCCCTTCCTCTCTGTAAAAAAGCAATAAAATATATATATTTAAAAAAAAAAAAAACAAGACTAAATGGCTCTAATCCTCTTTGTGCCCCAGACCAGTCATGTGACCTTGAGCAAGTCACTTTCCCTATTTGGGCTTGTTTTCCCTTCAGCAAAATGCCAGGTTTGGCCTGGGACTAGGTGGTGGTTTTCAATCCTGCCTCTAAAGGACAGTGGGCTCCAGAGCTGGTCAACAGAATCCGCCTTCTAAAGCAAGGAGCAGCAGACTGTGACCGGCTCCAATTGCAGGGCTTGCTCCCATAATGCTGTCTGACGCCAGCAGCGGCCAGCACTGCACTGTGGGCTTGCCGGGAAGGGATCACGGACAGCACAGGGATGAAGAGTGGGAAATGCAGCGCGTGGCCAGACTTGAGTGGTGCCAGAGCGGCTGGCAGTCTCCCTGTGACGGAGACTTCACGGTGCGGGCTTATTTGCACATGCACTCTGCTTCCTGCGGCATTTCAGGGCGCTTCGCAGAGGACTCTGGGACTCCGGGGGGCCTGTTACCCAAAGGGACTGGAGAGACATCAGACTCAGCGCTCCCCAAGGGCCTTTCCAAGGCTAATCTTCCATTTTCTTTCTTTTCTTTTTTTTTTTTAATATATTTTATTGATTTTTTACAGAGAGAAAGGGAGATAGATAGAGAGCTAGAAACATCGATGAGAGAGAAACATCGACCAGCTGCCTCTTGCACACCCCTACTGGGGATGTGCCCGCAACCAAGGCACATGCCCCTGACCGGAATCGAACCTGGGACCCTTCAGTCTGCAGACCGACGCTCTACCACTGAGCCAAACTGGCTTCGGCTAATCTTCCATTTTCTCTCCTCGGAGACTGATACTCATTAACTCAGGTAAGCCCCATAGGATCTTCCCAACAGCTTCACAAGATAAGTACTATTACTATATTTTTTTTTTTTTTTTTTATTGATTTTGACCAGAATTGAACCTGGTCAATTGTAAAAAATTATTATTATTTTTTTTTTTTAGTGTTTGTTTTTTTCCAGAGGGGAAAGGAGTGGGGGAGAGAGACAGAAACATCAATGATGAGAGAGAATTGTTGATCGGCTGCCTCCTGCACGCCCCGCACTGGGAATCGAGCTCACAACCTGGGCATGTGGCCTGACCAGGAATTGAACCGTGACCTCCTGGTTCTTAGGATGATGCTCAACCCCTGAGCCACAGCAGTGAGGTGTGGTTGAACGTTTAAGAGCCAGTGATCACTGCCACACTTCCTTTGCCAACTCTAGGAGTTACAGAAGCACAATGAAGAGCCCCCCTCAGCCTGCCTGAGAGAAGATGGTTTAAAACACTCGCCTGCCCTTCCATGCACCCACTACCCCCAACCCATGGACACAGAGTGTGAATGAGAAGTAACCTTGATTATTTTTTAAGCTGCTAACATTTGGAGGTCGTTTGTTACTGCAGCATAGCCTCGCCCATCCTGAGTAACCCAACGTTACACTGTCTGTTGTTGATTACCTTTGGCGTCAGCCCCCAAACCTGCCTCCTCCCAGAAGCTCCCTGGGAGCACGGGCTCCACACTGCGACCTGACAAGCAGCGAGAGGAAAGGGAGCCTGTCCCCGAGCAGGGGCGTGGGGTGTGTTCTGGGAGATGTGCCAGCCTTTGTCACGCTCTGGGGCATGGGCTAGCTGGGTGAGATTGCCACCAGACCTGGAGGCCCCGGACAGACACTGCTCCTCAGGCTTCTCTCCCATATTCATTTATTGGCTCTCCTTACTTTTATTCCGCATTCTTAAGGTAGGAATGACGGGAAAAGCAGGAGGAGCACTGCCCTCGTATGTCCTGGGGGCACTGCAGGCTGACTATGACCTTGCAGGCCTGGATCTGAACCTCCTCCTCCGGGTGGATGACCAGGGCCAGCAGCCGGTCTGCCAGCCGTGACTTTTCCCCAAAGAGAGCTTCGTGCAGAGACTTTTCGTTGTAATGCCATTTCACGGCGCGGTAGTGTGGCGTATTCCGGCCTTCGCTCAGCCGCTCGGCAAACACCAGTACCTCGAACAACAGACTCCCAGATTGTTTGGACTGGAACAGATTCAGAAAGTTGGCGTGCACCTGTGATGGGGATGAAGAGAGGTGGCAGTGAAATCCAAGACAAATCCTAAAGTTCTTCCATCTTCCTATTACCTCAACTCCTAATCTCAGAGTCAACTGTACAGGAGCATTTTAATTTTCATTATCATCTATATATATAAAAGCCTAAGTGACCGTAACAACCAAACAACTGGAATAACCAGTCACTATGACATGCACTGACCACCAGGAGGTAGACACTCAACACAGGAGCTGCCCTGTGGTGGTCAGTGCACTCCCACAGCAGGAGCACCACTCAGCCAAAAACCGGGTGGCGGTAGAGCCAGAACGAGCCTGCCACTTCGGCACTGCCACATCCCCCAGGAGCCCCAGATTGTGAGAGGGCGCAGGCCAGGCTGAGGGACCCGCCTGTGCACAAATCCATGCACCGGGCCTCTAGTTCTCTAACATAGTTATCTTGTGGTCATAAAACATGAGTTATTTGGTAATAACATTGATTCTGGGAAATATGTCATGACAAACTTCAAGGTTTAATGTGTGGTTAATTTGTATAAATGTTTTGTGTGTTTGAGAGGAATGTGCATTTACTAATTACAGAGCATTCTGAGGATATCTCAAGCTGGTTTGTGTTATTCTCAACAAATATACCCATAATTAGTTTCAGGATTTTATCTATTAATTGCTGAAAGAGTAAAATCTTCCAAGTCTCCCATTGTGGTAGTAGATTTGTCAGTTTTTCTTTATAATTATTCAGCTGTGAGAAAGAAGGAAATCCTGCTAATTTGTGACATCATGGATGGACCCTGAGGACCTTATTCTAAGTGGGATAAGCCAGATAGAGAAAGACAAACAATATGTGGTATCACTTTTATTTTTACGTGGAATCTTTAAAACAAAGATAAGTCAGAAAGAAGAACCAAGATGGCAGTGTAGGTAACCACCTGTACGCACTGCCTCCTACAATCACATCAAAATTCCAACTAAAATACAAAACCACCATTGCTCAGAACTGCCTGAAAGCTGGTTGAATGAAGCCCTACAACTAGAGGAAAAGAATGCATATCAAGACTGGTAGGAGGGGCAGAGGCACTGCATGGATTAGTCCCGCACCCACAATGCTATTTTTTCCAGTCGGGAGGAAGATTGTCTCTGCAGAGACTGCCCATGAGAAGCAGGGGGTCCCAGCCCCACGCCAGCCCCCCAGCCCAGGGTTGCAGAGCTGAGAAGAGAAGTCCCTGTAACTTTGGGCTGTAAAAATCAGTGGGAATTGTGGCTGAGTGATACGTAAGATGCTGGAGTCCCAGGTAGTCCTCTTAAAGGGCCTGCACACAAACTTAAACTGCCCCAAATTCTGAGCTCCAGCACCAGGGGATCCAGACACATATGGGGAGGAACTGGATGGTATGGCATTGGGGCAGGAACTCAAGGGTGGATTTCTCTCAGACAGGGTTGCTCAAAAGATCCCTTGCTGGGATCTTCCTTGTCACAGGGCTGAGTGGCAGCCATATCTGAGTTTCCATCAGCCTGTTTCACCCTGTTTGCTCTACTCTGGGGATTCCCTGAGACTCCGCCCCACCCAATTTGTAGCCCCACCCAAACTTTTCTATATGAATGGCCTATCCTGGCTCAGGCTTCAGACTTTGCTAAAATCTTTCGAACAAGCTGCAGCTGGTGACAGCATGCCCCAAACCTATCAGTAAAAGGCTCAAGACTGGGCACTAGCACCAACCTGCCTTCTTCACACCTGGGCCCCATCTCCTGCACAGAAGTCCTCCCACTGTAGTCACCACTGGTCCTCACAGCCAATTGGCCTGGAGGTCAACTCCTCCCAGTGACACCACCAGCAATCAAGGCTCAACTATAAGACTGTGCACACAGCCCACACAGAGGTGCCCCTAGAGTCTGTCAGATGTCTGGGGAGATGAGACACTGGGCCCTACTGCACATCACACAATTCCAGGAGACATACTATCTCTCTCTACCTAATACATAGAAACAAACATAGGGAAGCACCCAAAATGGGGAGACAAAGAAACATGTCACAAATTAAAGAAATGGAAGCAAGAAAACTACTGGATACAGAGTTCAAACCATGATTATAGGTTACTCAAGGATCTTCATGAGACTTTCAAGGATCTTAGTGAGAATGTCAAAGACATGGAAAAGAAACAGTCAAAAATTAAGCATACACTAAAAGATAAAGAATAATTAACAAGATTCAACAGTAGAGTAGAGGATTCCGAGAACCAAATCAATGGTTTGGAATATGAGGAAGCAACAAACACCCAGCCAGAACAGCAAAAAGAAAAAAAGAATCTAAAAATATGAAGCAAGTGTAAGTAGCCTCTGGGACAACTTCAAGTGTACCAACATGTGCATCATGGGGGTGCTGGAAGGAAATGAGAGAAAGCAAGGTACTGGAAACCTATTTGAAGAAATAAAAACAGGAAATTTTCCATCCCTGTGAAAGAAACAGACTTACAAGACCAGCAAGTACAGAGAGTTCCAAACAAGAGGAACTCAAAGAGACCCACACTAAGACACATCATAATTAAAATGCCAAGGGTTAAAGACAAAGAGAGAATCTTAAAAGCAGCCAGGGAGCTCCTGTACGCCTGTCAGCTGAGTTCTCAACAGAAACTTTGCAGGCCAGAAGGGAGTGGCAAGAAATATCCAAAGTGATGAATAGCAAGGACCATAACCAAGATTATTCTACCCAGCAAAGCTATCATTTAGAATTGAGGGTCAGATAAAAAGCTTCAAAAAAAAAAAAAAAAAAAAGCTAAAGGAGTTCATCAACACCAAACCAGTATTACATGAAATGTTGAAGGGTGGTTATTGAAGAAGAAGGAGGAAGAGGAGAAGGAGGAGGGGGAAGGGGAGGAAATAAAAAATATGAACAATAAAATGGCAACAAATCAAATCTAAAAATAAAAATAAAAATAAAAAAACAAGAAATCTAATGAACAAAAGAAACTGGTGAATAAACACAATCAGAGGCATGGAAGCATGGAACAGACTGACAAATCTCAGAGGGAAGAGGGTGAGGGAGGAAGAGGTTAACTGAAGTCCTTGCCTAAGAACATAAACAGTAGGGTAGTGAAGGCATGAGGTGGGGCAGGAACCAGGTGGAGTGGGGTGATGGGGAAAAGAGGGGGGCATCTCTAATACTCTCAATAATAAAGATTTTTTTAAAAGAAAAGTCAAAGTCGTAGAAACAGAGATAAATGGTTGTCAGGAGTTGGAAGAGGGGGAAGTAGGGAGCAGTTGGTAAAAGAGTACAAACTTAAAACTATTAAACAAATAAGGTCTGAGGCTTTGTGTAAAACGTGTGGACGATAGTGGATAGCCCTGTGTTAGAGCATTGAAATCTGCTAAGAGATTCAAACTTAAATGTTCTCACCACTCCCCGCCCCCAAAAGTAGATATGAGGAATCCTTCACCATGCATACATGTTAATCACCACACTGTATACTTGAACTATCCTACATGTTTATTTGTCAATTTACCTCAACAAAACCGAAGGGGGGAGAGAAAATTTGTTTCCTTGTAATTCTATCCAGTTTTGCCATCTATAGTTTGAGATCATGTTATTAGGTTTATCTAAATTTAGAGTTGCATTATCCCCCTGAACCGTTAATTATTATGGTGGTGATCTTCTCTATTCCTAATAATAGCTTTTGTGATAAATAACTTTTCCCTAATATTAAAGTAACTACAGCCGAAACTGGTTTGGCTCAGTGGATAGAGTGTCAGCCTGCGGACTGATAGGTCCCGGGTTCGATTCCGGTCAAGGGCACATACCTTGGTTGTGGGCACATCCCCAGTGGGGACTGTGCAAGAGGCAGCTGGTCGATGTTTCTCTCTCATCGACGTTTCTAACTCTTTGTCCCTCTCAATTCCTTTCTGTGTAAAATCAATATATATATATATATATATATATATATATATATATATATATATATATATAAAATAGTGTTGTTGTTTTTAAAAAAAAAAAAAGTAACTATATTAACTTCTGTTTTGTCACCTGTGTTCCTCATTCTCAGAGTTTAGAAAGCCCCTCAAAGGAGAGCCTCCTCCCAACAAAACTGATTCTGGCTCTTTGGGGAGGACAGTGCGGGATGCCTCTCAGGGGAGGACAGTGCGGGAGTGCACAGGCAGAGAGAGGAACACCACGGTCTTGTCAGGGCTACGTCTGTCCGGAGACTTCTTCCCTCCCCAGAATCCGAGGTGGCATCCACCAGCCCCTCAGCGCTCCCTTCCTCACGTGGCAGTTGAGAATATCATAGAGCAGGTCATTCTTCTGTGCCAGGTGGCTCAGCAGTCGTACGGCTTGCACCTACATAAGGGAAATAGTAAAACACGAGAAGGCAGGTGAGTGTGGCCTGAGCAGAGAAGACACAGGTCTCTCCTCCGCTGCCCCCCCCCCCGCCCCCCTCTAGATAGATGCTGTGCCAGGGCTGGTCGTGGGGCAGGGCCTGGGCCATGGCCTTGAGGCACCTGTGCCAGGTTATAGTCCGACTGGAGAATCTCCATCAGGGCGGGCATCACCCGTCGCAGCTGTGGGTGCAGGAAGTCGGGCAGCGGGAGGTTGTTGAGGAGCCTGAGGCCAGCGATGTGCAGTTCCGAGTCCCAGATGGTGGATATCAGCTCCAGGACCTTGATGAAGTGCTCCTGGGGAGGGGGGGGGGGGGGGAAAGGTCTGCTTTTGTATGACCTCACACTCCCCCGGCCTCTGCCTGCACTCTCCCCTGCCTCGCCCAGGACGCCTGAGCCGAACCCAGTAGAAAATTCCATCTGACAAACTCGCAGCATCCTTTGACCTTGTTGGCCATGTCCATATTCTAGAGTAGGGGTGTCGAACTCAATCAGAGAAGGGGCCAAAATCTAAAATCCAGCCTAAATCGCGGGCCGAATGGTTTACTGAACAGTCATAAACTGTCATTGTGATGGAAACGCAGCGGAGTGCAGTGATGACAGCGCGGTGCGGGCCACATTGCAAGGCCTGGCGGGACGGATTTGGCCCGTGGGCCTTGTGTTTGACACATGTGTTCTAGAGGTTCCTTCTTCACTTGGCTTCCCTTTCCGTCTGCTTTCCTGGTTCTTGTGCCCAAACCCTCTTGTCTGTCTTCATCACTCCTTAGCGATGCCACCCAGACTGAGTATGAAGCGCTATCCATATGCCGTTTCAGGCCTCTCCTCACCTCGCCTATATGCAGGTGCCAATTCCACCTCTTTCCCAGGATGTCTTATAGAGCCCAGCCCCCACCCCCAACCTGCTCCTCCTACCACCTTCCCCGTCTCAGCCGTTCCTTACGCCTTCCTTCCATCTCTCGGGCCAAAAAGCTGGCCTTCCTTGAGCACTTTCTCTCTCACACCCTTTTTTCCAAACCTTCAGAAAACCCTGTTGACTCTACCTTCAAAATCCATCGACAATCAGGCCACTTCTACCACCCTGTTCAGGCCACTGTTCTCTCATCTGATTTCTGCAATGGCCCCGGGTCACGCTGCTCCCACCACCCCCTCCCCCAACACTGTGCCTGTTTTCAGAACAACAGACATGTCACTTGTGTCACTCGTCTGCTCAAGAGTCCCTAGTTCATTGAGGGTAAAAGCTAGAGTCCTTACAGTGGCTTACAATCTGCCTTTCCCCCGTTCCTCCCACCCCAGCCCCGTTATTTCTTCGGCCTCATCTATTCTCTCCTTTGCTTCCATGTTCCCGTTACAATGGCCTCTTAGCTATTCCTGGAACATGCCAAGTACACACCTATTTTGGGGTTTTTGTATAGGCTGTTCCTTCTACTCTCATTCCTGATATTCATGGCTCACTCCTACCTCCTTCAGGACTTGAATGTCACCTCAGTGAGACTTCCCCGACCACCTCCTTCTTGAAAACTGCTACACCAGCCCTGGCCCATTTTTCTCAGTGGTTAGAACATCAGCTTCGGACTGAAGGGTCTTGGGTTTGATTCTGATCAAAGGCACATACCTCGGTCACAGATCCCCACCCCCAGTAGGGGCGTGTACTGGAGCATCCAATCAATGTGTCTCTCTCACATCGATGTTTTTTTCTCTCTCCCCCTCCCTTCTTTATAGATAGATAGATAGATAGATAGATATAGATAATTTTTTTAATTGATTTCAGAGAGGGAGAGAGAGAGAGAGAGACATCAATGATGAGAGAGAATCATTAATTGGCTGCCTCCTGATTGAGCCAGCAACCTGAGCATGTGCACTGACTGGGAATCCAACCGGTGACCTCTTGGTTCCTGGGTCAATGCTCAACCACTGAGCTACACTAGGCTGGGTTCCCCCTCCCTTCTGCTCTTTCTAAAAATCAATGGAAAATTATCCTCAGGTGAGGATTCACCAAAAACAAAACAAACAAACAAAACAACTGCCACACCATCCCATACCAGCCTTCCTCCCCCCATCTTTTAATTTCCTCCATCACACTGTCACAGGTGTGACACACTTTTTATTTTTAAACTTTTAATTTTCAAATAATTATAAATTCGTGGGAAGCTGAAAAAATTGTACAGAGAGGTCCTTGTGCTTTCACCCAGTTATCCTCAATGGTCACCTCTTCCATCGACAGCATCAAAACTAGGAAGTTATAATAGTATTGGTATGGCGTGTGTTTAGTGCTACAGCACTTTTATCAGGTGTCAATTCATGTTTCCACCACTACAATCAGCAGAGTATTCCACCAAAACTGTCCCCTCACCACAAAGATCTCCCTTGTGGAACCCTCTGTAGTCACACCTCTTCCCTCCAAAACCAGGCTTAACCACTGGCAACCACTCATCTGCTTTTTATCTTATAACTAGAGGCCCGGTGCACAAAATTCATGCATGGGGGGGGAGGTGTATCTCAACCCAGCCTGCACCCTCTCCAATCTGGGACCCCTCGATGGATGTAGGACTGCCCGTTTAGGCCCGATCCTGGTAGGCCTAAACAGGCAGTCAGACATCCCTCTCACAATTCAGTCCTGCTGGCTCCCAACTGCTCGCCTGCCTGGCAGCCTGATCACCCTCTAACCACTCCCCTGCCAGCCTGTTTGCCCCTAACTGTCCTCCCCTGCAGGCCTGGTCATCCCTAACAGCCCTCCCCTTGCAGGCCTGCCCCCCCCCAACTGCCCTTCCTTGCAGGCCTGGTCACCCCCAACTTCCCTCCTCTGCTGGCCTGGTCACCCCTAACTGCCCTCCCCTGCAGGTTTGATCACCCCCAATTGTCCTCCTTTGCAGGCCTGGCCCATTCCAACTACCCTGCCCTGCTGGTCATCTTGTGGCAGCCATCTTGTGTCCACATGGGGCAGTCATCTTTGACCACATAGGGGCAACCATCTTGTGTGTTAGAGTGATGGTCAATTTGCATATTATTCTTTTATTAGATAGGATTCTGACAGTTGGCGAATGTTGTAGAGATAGCATACTTTGTGACCATCTAAGATTTTCTCAGTACAATGCTCTTGAAATCCATCCAGGTTGTTGTGTGCATCAGCAGTCCATTCCTTTTTATTACTGAGTCGTGTTCCATGGTATGGGCGACCAGTTTGTCTAACCGTGATCTACTGAGACTCGCTGTGGTTGTTTCATTTTTTACAAAGTTTTTAAGGATGATTGTACACAGGTTTTTGTACAAATGCAAGTTTTCATTTGTCTAGGATAAGCGCCAAGGAATTTTTCTAGTAAATTTATAGTTAGATATTTTAAGAAACTGCCAAGCAATTTTCTTGAGTAGCTGTCATACCATTTTACATTCCCATCAGCAATGTATGAAAGATCCAGTTCCTAGATATCTTCGCCAGCAAGCAGGGCTGTCACTAATCTGGAGTTTAGATCGAGTAACAGGTGTATTGTTGTATCTTATTGGGGCCTTAATTTGCATTTCCCCAAGGGCTGGTGATGTTAAACATCTCTTCCCCTGCTTATCTGCAGTCTGTGTATCTTCTTCAGTGACATTTCTCAACGTCTTCTGCCCGATTCTAATTGGATTGTTTTTATATGTATATTGAGTTTTCAAAGCTCTTTAGGCAATCTAGATATATGTCCTTTGTCAGATATGTGGTTTGCAAACATTTTCTCCCAGTCTGTAGCTTATTTTTTATCCTCTCAATGGGATCTTTCATAAAGCAAATGTTTTTTAATTTTCATAAAGTCCAGTTTCTCAATTCTTTATGTTACAGATCATGCTTTTGGTGTCATTTCTACAAACTCTTCAGCAAGCCCTACGTCCTACAGATCTTCTCCTTTGAAACTGCGGCAGCACAGGCATCCCAGCCTTCCTCACCAACCTTCTCGCTTTGCTTTGTCTCCGCAGCACCTCATGACACCTTTGACTATTTGCGTATTGCCTGCCTTGCCCTGCTGGACTCCAAGTCCCACTGGTACAGGGGTCTTTCCCGTTCTGTTCACTGCTACCTCTCCAGTGCCCAGCACAGTGTCCTGGTACCAAGCGCTCAGTGGACGTTTGTTGAATGGTTAAAGGGGTCTTGGCTTCTGAGGTGCAAGGTGCTTGGGCCAAGAGGCATTACTCAAGACAGGTAACCTCACAGGCTGTGCCGTTGTGAGCCACAGGAGAGGGAGACAAGGATACTGGCGTGAGGACCACGGCAGCCCTGCTCCTCCCTGCCCCCACCCTCACTGTCTGCTAAGATTCAGGCAGAGAGAACAGCGGGTGCGAAGGCCAGGGCGTGGGAGGGCATGAGACACGCAGTGTAAACGGCTGGGTTGGGACAGGGGAGGAGCGCCTGAAGGAAGCCCAGCAGGAGGGGGATGGGATGAGATCCCTCTGGAGGGGGGTCTGACTTAGAGAATGGGGGTGAGCTCCATTTTCCATGTGTTGGCTCAGGGGGCCACTAGGCCGTCTAAGCCGAGCAGCTGGCCACAGGTCTAGAGGCCAGGGGAGCCCCAGGCTGCGGACAGAGGAGGAGAGCACATCTGGATGGAAACTGAGGCCAGGGAGCAGCTACTGCCCAGCAGACAGCAGGGGTCGGGTCCTCAGGACACAAGCGCTGGGGGAAGAAGGAACAGCGATGCCCAGGGGCTTGTGAAAAACACAGCTCCCTGCTGAACTGGACTCTGGGTACAGGGTCCCCAAAATCTTCGTTTTTAGCCAGTCTTCTGGGCAATTCTATAAGCTTAAGAACCACCGCCTTTGGGAAACTGAGAAGGCTAAGGGATGAAGGAGAAGCAACAAGAAAGACCTCTGTTTCCCCCAAAAAAAGAGTTTGAGGTAAAATAAATTAATTAATTAATTAAAGTGTGAAAATACCAAGCTTGGGGGCAGGAGGAGAGATACTGCCACGAAACCAGCAGACAGGGCAGGTAGAGGGTGCACATTGATACAACTGGCCTTGAAAAGGGGGGCATACCATCCCCCCTCCTGCACACACACCCCGGAGAGCCTCCGTGTCCACAGGGAGATGTGTACAAGAATGTTCACAGCACCAAGTGCAGACGATACCAGTAATAACCCGCGCATTAAATAGCAGGGAAGGAGTGAAGGGGCGGCTGGAGGCACAGGCATGCCATTTATACGCTTTGCCAGAAAGCTGCTGCCGTTAGACACGTGCCCAGTAAGGCCCGGGCGACTGGGAAGAGGCTTACTTGTCAGTCCCACCTGGGAACAGGTAATTGGCCAGAATGGGTGTGGCCCCTGCAAGGATGTGAAATCTGAGGTATTTAAGGTCCTAAAAAAGTAATTTCGCTCTTTTGGTGTTCCCTTGGCTCGCTCTCTCTCTTGCTGCTCACTTATTTTTTTCTTTCTTTCTTTTTTTTTTTTTTTTTAAATATATTTCATTGATTTTTAACAGAGAGGAAGAGAGAGGGATAGAGAGTTAGAAACATCAATGAGAGAGAATCATCAATCAGCTGCCTCCTGCACACCTCCTACTGGGGATGTGCCCACAACCAAGGTACATGCACTTGACCGGAATCCAACCTGGGACTTCTCAGTCTGCAGGCCGACGCTCTATCCACTGAGCCAAACCGGTTTCGGCTTTTCTTATTTTTTAAACATATTTTTATTTATTTCAGAGAGGAAGGGAGAGGGAGAGAGAGATAGAAACATCAATGAAGAGAGAGAATCATTGACCGGCTGCCTCATACATGTGGATTGAGCCCACAACTAGGGCGTGTGCCCTTGATCAGAATTGAACCTGGGACCCTTCAGTCCACTAGCTGATGCTCTATCCACTGAGCCAAACCAGCTAGGGCTCTTGTTGCTCACTTCTGACTCCTGGCTTGTGGGGCTCCCACCATTTGCATTCACCCAGATGGCTCATGGCCATGTGGGACCCACACAGTGGGCTGAAGGGCTGGATCTAGCCTGATGCCGTGCGGACTCCACTCCACCATGGCGGAGACTCTGCACACCGGCTTTGCTTCTGGTTCTGCGGAAGCCCCAGCTGCATATTTTCCATGCAAATGAAGTCATTCCTTCTCCCTCACAACTCCCAGACAATCCCTTTTCTCTCATTAGTGCTGGAGGAATCACACCCGCCCAACCCTCCAGCAGCACACACAATTCAGAGGTCTGCCTGAGGGCAAATGGATAACTGGGCACAGTGGGGAGAAGGGAGCAGAGCCAGCACGTCATTGTCGTCATTGTCGAGGGGAAAGGCAAACCGCACCATCCGTACAAACAGCAAACTTCCAGGTACGCCATGCTGAAAAACATGGCGGCTGCGATTACCTATTCATGTACTGCCTGCCTGCCCTGCTGCCACAGAGGATCACCCGTGTGGACATGGTCAAACTACAGAGCAATCAAAGGCGTGAGTAACAAAATGCTGGGAACAGACTGCCTCTGGTGGGGGAGGAGGCTGGCACTCGGGAGGGCCACAGCAGTCTAGTTCTCAGCCTGGTTCTGGTTAATGCACGTTTTGTTTTATTGTTATTATTTCTACTGTACACATGGAAGATGTGTGTAAGTTTTAAATACTTTACTTACTTTCAATTTGGGAGAGACAAGACCATTTGTTAGAGAGAAGTTTGGAGGTGAAAAGAGGCTTTTGAAGATGAGAGGGGCTAGAACGTGCTGAACGCAATGGCAAGGAGCTGGAGCGACCGCGTGCGACAGAGCCGACCAGGAAAGAGGCCCTCAAGGATGGGATGTGACCAAGACAGACGAACACTGGCGAGGTTGTGGAGAAAAAGGAACCCTCATGCACTGCTGGTGGGAATGCAGACTGGTGCAACCATTGTGGAGAACAGTGTGGAGTTTCCTCAAAAAACTGAAAATGGAACTCCCATTTGACCCAGTAATCCCACTCCTAGGAATATATCCCAAGAAACTAGAAACACCAATCAGAAAGGATATATGCACCCTTATGTTCATAGCAGCACAATCTACAATAGCTAGAATTTGGAAACAGCCTAGGTGCCCGTCAGCAGATGATTGGATCAAAAAACCATAGTACATCTACACAATGGAATACAATGCTGCCATAAAAAAGAAGGAATTCTCATCATTTGCAGCAACCGGATGGAACTGGAGAACATCATGCTGAGTGAAATAAGCCAATCAATGAAAGAGAAACTCCACATGACCTCACTCATTTATGGATAATAAAGAACATTATAAACTGATGAACCAGAAGATAGATATAGAGACAGTAAAGCAACAAGCAGACTGTCAAATTACAGCAGGGAGGGTAGGGAGATCTGGGGGAGATAACAGATCAACCGAAGGACTTGTATAGATGCATATAAGTACAACCAATGGACACAAAACTCTGGGGAGGGGGGTATGTATGGGAGGGGGGAGCAATGTTAAATTATGTACACAGATAATAAATGAATAAAATAAAATAAAAAAAGACAGACGAACACTGACCGCAGATGGGAAGCAAGCCAAGTTTCCATGGCACCAGCAGGATGGGAGTGGAAGCAGACAAGGCTGGGCCTGGTAGCAGGAAACTGGGGGAGCTGACATGGGGTGGGCCCAGTGCGCGCCCCCCCCCCCCCCCCGCCTTGGACCAGCACAGCGTGGGGGGGTAGGGGGGCAGGGGGTATGACACTACACCTGGTTCCACGCACAGAGCTCCTAAAATCCTGGCAGTTCCCTGGCTGGAAGCTCTTTGTTATTCACAATGACCCCCTTTTCACCACCCTAACATTTATGCTAATGAGGTGACTCATGGCATGCCTCTGGACAGCTTCTGGAAGGGGCTGGTGGCCAGAAAGACCACTCCTTGGTGAAAGGATTGAGACGTTTAGCCACATCCCTGACCTCTGGGGACCAGGGAGGGGTTCCAGAGTGAGTTCAGCCTCCAATGGCCAATGACTAATCAATCCTGCCTACATAATGGGACCTCCACAAATACCCGCAAATGGCAGGCTGCGGAGAACTTCTGGGGTGAACACATCGAGACGCTAGAAGGGAGGCCAGCTGAGAGAAGGCATGGAACCTGAGTCTTCCCCCAAACCTCGCACCTCTCCCACTGGGCTGCTCCTCAGCCACATCTTTTACAACAAACCGGTAAGAATAAGTAGTATTCTCTTGCGTTCTGAGAGTTGTTCTAATGAATTATCAAACCTGCAAAAAGGGGGTTCGCAGGAACCTCCAAATTGATAGCTGGTCAGGCACAAGTTCTGGGACCCGTGACCCCATCTGAGGTGGGGCAGCCTGCTGGGACTGAGCCCTCACCCTGTGGAGTCTGTGCCAACTCCGGGTGGTGTCGCCACTGAGTTCAAGTGTGGAACACCCAGCTGGTGGCAGAAAGAACCTCAGGGGGCTTTCTGCTCTTTGGGGTTCTGGGGTACTCCTAGCCCTGGAGCCCAGTCCAGCTTCGTCCTGGGAGTCAAATGCTTTGGATGACCCTGCTGGGAATCTGACCACCATTTCCCACTTACGGCATTTCCAGGGGGAAACCCGTTTCTGGTTAATAAACTCAGACCCAAACAAAGTTCTGGAACCTGACTACTTAGCCTACGCCTGTTAAAGGGCCCGTGGGCTGCGGGCATCCTGTGTGCTCGGCCCCACCGCGTGCCTCTGGGCTCACCTGGATTTTGAGCCTGAACTTCCTGATGCCAGAGAAGGCCTTAAGGGTGTTCAGAGCTTGGATTTTGACACTGTTGTCCTTGTCATCCAGCATGGAGCCCACGAGCATGATGTCATCAGGAGTACAAGCAGAGGCCTAGGTGTACCGGGAGAGACGGAGGAGGCAGGAGCAGTGCCTGTCCTAGGCCCAGGGCCCCCCATGTCACGGAGACCTCTCCCCACCACCCCTCCCGCCGTCATCAACCAGAGGGACAGGTCCCAGGACCCCGTCCGGCCAGTCAGGGGGCAGGGGTGAGCGGGAGCCGCCGGGGGCCAGGCTGGCTAGGAGGGACCTCCTGCTTCCCGCCCCTCACCTCAGCCGACAGCAAGTACACACAACGGGTGATGTTGTGCAGGACCATGCCCTTGGCGTACTCGTCGTGTTTGTTCTCCAGAGAGTTGAGAAGCCTCCGGAGCTCACCGGAGTCCCCCCCGTGCCGCTCTCGCTCGATGGCCAGGCCTAGACAGCCAACCCGGCCAGTTCAGGCTGAGGACTCAGAGTGAAGACAGAATGGGGCTGGAAAGGGGGGGTGGGGGGGAGGGACCTGGGACAAAGCTGCCTCGCCTCTCCTGAAGAGCTTTCTGGTACAGGCAGGACCGCCGTGCACAGCGGACCCGGGTGGAGGGCCCAGCACACCCTCTCTAAGGGTGTCAGCCCCAGCACCAACATCACCCTTCTAAAGGTTTACTCTGCCATTTCCTGGCATCAGCAGTGACACGCAGTCTCCCATCGTAATCAGCATATGGCGACGATACTCCGGCAGATGGCAACAAAGCGTCTTGCAGGAGGGATGCCCTTTTCTATAAAAACTAGTATGGGCTCTGGGCATGTAGGTCCCCCAACTCTGAGTGTCACTGCTGACGCCTGACCCTCACGCAGTGGCGACCCAGGAACCAGAGTGAATGGACAGTGTGAAGACCTGCCACACGAGTCCTGAGGACCCCCGAGGCCCAGGCCCCGTGCTGGGTGAGGTTAAGGAAGATGGAGAAGAGAGGAGAGAGGAGGAACTGGAGTCACCTCTGGTCCCTCCCACACTGGAGGCTTGGGGCCGAGTCCCGCCCCCAGGGCCCAACACTCACGGGCGATGCAGGTGGGCGAGGAGGTGGAGATGGGCGTTTGGTCTCGCATGCCAGCCCGGATGGCCTTGTAGAGCAGGTAGACGGCCCCGGCGCCTATGGTCAAGCCCACTACGCTTTTGCGGACGCTCAGATGCCCCAGTGGGGAGACTTTCTTGCCCATGTCCTCAGAGCCACCCTGGGCCCAGGTGGGAGCTAGGCCCGAGGCGCCTGGTAAGGGCCTTCCGGAACCAGAACCCTGGCAGAGCCAGGAACCAGGGTACCAGAATCGGAACCCAGGCAACAAAAGAAACGGAAGAAATGGTGCTCGGGAAGCAGGGAGGCCGGAGCTGCTTGGAAGGGGAGAAAGTTTAGCTCAGAGGCTGTGGGAAATGACGCTCAAGAATCTGCTGGGATACAAAGTCTGGGCAGGCAGGTCTTCTCCCCGCCTCCTCAGGGCAGCCGGCTGGTGGGGTGCCAGCAGGGGGCTCCGGAGGCTGCCGCTCCTCCATTAGAGGGCAGCAGAGGCCCAATTTCTGGGCTGGGCCATTGAAAGTTTCTGGGAGGGGTGTTTGGGTGTGCCCACTGGCAGTCCCAGTTCCCTCACTTCCCTGGCCCTCCTATCTTCCATCCCTTCACCACAGACCCTCTGCTGGGCCCAGGAACTGCTGCAGGCAGCCCCTCCCCCTCCCTCCAACGCAGGGGGGCAGTTTAAGACGTTCTGCAGAGTCTTGGGGCAAATCCACCATCTCCCGGGGCCTGCATGTGCGCCTGCAGAGTACAGCCGGAGGGACCAGCGCTCTGGAGGGTGCTCAAGCCATGACGTCTGTCGCTCTTTGAGGACTTGAGGGCAGAACAGGCACAGAATCCAAACACAGGCTCCAGGCCCCTTTAACCAGTGCGGCCTAGAGCCGTGGTGGGCAAACCAGCTCACAAGCCACATGCGGCTCTTTGGCCCCTTGAGTGTGGCTCTTCCACAATATACCACGGCCTGGGCGAGTCTACTTTGAAGGAGCGGCATTAGAAGAAGTTTAAGTTTAAAAAATTTGGCTCTCAAAAGAAATGTCAATCGTTGTCCTGTTGATATTTGGCTCTGAGGACTAATGAGTTTGCCGACCACTGGCCTAGAGGAAGGGACTGCCCTTGCGTTGGTCTCAGTTTGTGGATTTCTACCCTGAGACCCAGGTTTATCATTCTAAAGCTCCAGCTTTAAGGTTTGGGAAGGTCTGTGCCTTTAAACTGCGGGGGCTTACATCTGTGAGTACCACCCCCACCCCACCCCGCCCCCCCCCAGGCAGGACGAGGCTTGAGGCCTCTTCAGGGAGAGCCCAGCTGTGGAGCCTTGATCTTCACGACGAGGATGGGGCAGGCGGCCAGACCCTCCCATCCTCTCTTCGCCCCATGGCCCACCCCTGCGACCTCACCCCTGGTGTAGAACCAGGCGACGGACCCAGAGCCAGCGCCCAGCCCGGCTGTCCCAGAACAGGGCTCCCCTGCCTGGCTGGAGCGCCTGCTGGAAGGCTCTGGGTCCTGGGCTGCGCCCGGGCTGGAAGGTGGGGAAACAGGAAAACAGCCTCCCCAAGGATGCTGCCGCCGTCCAGGCCTGTCCACGCAGAGCCTTCGCCCGCCCACCGGCTGCAGGCAGCGCTCTCAGATGGCCCCTCTCTCCTTCCCTCTGCCCAGCCCCACCACACCCAGCGAGGCCGCCTACGGGTGACCACACAGACTCCCCGCAGGAGGCCTCCTCCCTGCCGTGGCCAACAGTCACCACCATGGGCTCCAGGGAGGAAACGCCTGCCTGTGGACGGCTGCTTTAGGCTCCAAGGTGACCCTGCTGGGCCTGAGGATAGAGCCTCCAGAACAAGGTCCCTGCCCTTCTCTGGGGTGTGACTCAGAGCTACTGGCCTCTCCCGCCCGTGGATTTGATTCTGCGGCCTTCACATGCTAAGCAGACACGGCGCTCACATGTTCCCTCCAAAGAGCTCTAAGCTGGCTCCTTCCTGCGACACTGAAAGCCCCTTTCTTCGGTGCGGCCCTCAGACGACTCAGGGTCAGCGCCAGAGGCACCCAGGGTGACACTGCCGTGGGTCCCCAGCACGGGGAGATAAGAAAGGGGAATGCCTGTTTGCGGGGGCAAGCCAGCGACTGTTCTTTCTTGGGAATGGCTTTTTGATTGAGATGATGTTTCATAGTGAGAGAACTCAATTATACTTGCTTTTATGAGATATGGCAATAGATGGCAGTTGTGATTTGAGTGTGCTTAGGGAGCATAAATGAAAGTGGCAATTCTTTGTGGGAACTTGGCTTTTGTTTCCTTGTTTTGGCTTTTCTGTCAAATCCTGGAACCACCGGCCGGCGAGAGAGAAGTCTGAGATTCCACATACACGCAGCCCCAAGTTTCTTACAAAGCAAAGGGCGCAGGCTGCCCCTGCCCTGTGCCTCGGCCTTTGCACCAGCCTTCTACCCCGGGCTGATGTGTGAGAGTGTGGGCTCTAGCCATACTTCCCGGTTCAAAACCAGTTCAGTCACTGACTTAGCTTTGTGTTTTGATTCTATATATATATATATATATATATATATATATATATATATATATATATATATAATTTATTTTGTACAGAGAGGAAGGGAGATAGAGAGTTAGAAACATCGATGAGAGAGAATCATCAATCAGCTGCCTCTTGCACACCCCCTACTGGGGTTATGCCCGCAATCACCGTACATGCCCTTGACCGGAATCGAACCCGGGACCCTTCAGTCCCCAAGCCGATGCTCTATCCATTGAGCCAAACCGGTCTCGGCTGTGTTTTGATTCTTGGAGAGAGGGAAATGTGGATTGGTTGCCTCCTGCACACAACCCCACCCGCGGGAATGGAATCAGGACCCCTTGGTGTCTAACCTACTGAGCCACACCAGCCAGGGCAGCTTTGCGATTTCCTCTTGCTGCATCTTCCCCACCTGCAAAGTGGAAATAACATCTGCCTGGGGAGGGTGTTTGTGGGATTAAGCAAAGTATGTAACTGCTGTGGTCAGCAGGTTTCAGCCGTTAAGAACACGGGGCGGGAAGGCAGTGAGCACGCAATGGTGGGCCTCTGAGGCCTGAAAGGCTCATGATTCAGCCCCTTCCACCATCCCACTCGCCTGCCTACACCTCCCGTCCTGTCCAGACTGATCACCACTCCGGTAACCCACTCAACCGCCTGGAACCATTCCGGATTAGAGAAACTGGAGGAACCCCATACGGTGTGGGGCGTGAGGGGCGCCACTCTGCAAGACCAAGTTCTAGGTCACTAAGGAGGGTGCCCAGGCCAGGGCCCTCAGCTCGTGCGCGCAGAAGCTGAGGGCGATGGGATGGCTTTACTGAAAAGTCTTTGGAGCCCGACCGGCTGGAGTTTGGGCAAATTCCTCCGTCTGAGGCTCCATTTCCTCCTCCGGAGCGCGGTCTATTAATACCGCCGCTACCGGGAAGCGGGCAGGGATGGCTGCGGCGACCCGGGCACGGCGCTCTGCACCGCGCTTCCGAGCACCGGGCCGGGCGGGGAGGGGAGGATGGGGCGCCGCGCCCGGCCCGCCCCGCGCTCACCCCGGCCAGGGGTCAGGTTCGGGGCCTCTGGGGGACTCGTTACCCCCGCTGAGCGGAGGGACCGGGAGAGACGCGGCGGAGGCCGGGAGCGCAGGGGGCCGCGCCCCCGAAGGAGGAGGGGGGGGGGGGGGGGGGGGGAGGAGGGGGAGGAGGAGGAGGAGGAGGAGGAGAAGGAGGAGGGGCGGGGTGCAGGCCGCGCCTCTCCCGCCCAGGCCTCCCTCTGGCCCTCCCCCCGGGCCCCCTCCCCCGCCCCCTCCCGCGTGCATCCGGCGGCGGGCACAGGATGTTCTTTCGCGCTGGTTCCCCACATACACACACACACCCCCGCCCCCCGCTCTCACTTTCCCTCCCCCCCCCCGCACCTTATTTAACTCCTTCCCCCCCGCGCGCCGCCCCGTCCCCCCTCCCGCCCCCCAGGAGCCCGAGGGCTGCCCGGGGGACGGGGGCCTGGGTGAGCGCCGGGCTCGGGGGCTCGGGGTCCACTGGCTGGCTGGCCGGGAGTGAAGGGGTGGAATGAGGTCCCTGGGCCGCAGCCGGCACCCTCCGGGCCCCTCCGGTTCACCGCTGCGGAGGAGGGAGCTGGGGTGGGGTCCGCACCCCGGGGGGGGGGGACCCCGCGCCCGAGCAGGCAGCCCGGAGGGCGCAGGGAGCCCCAGGCCCGGGGCAGCCGGGAGGTCGGGGACCCCAGCCTCATGGTCTCCCCGCTTGGGATGGGAAGGGGCCCCAGCGCCGGCGGAGGATGGAGAGGTGACGCCCCTCGCGGATACGTCACTGTCGCCAAGGCAACCGGGGCGGGGGGAGCGGCGGGAGGACTGGAGGCCAGACCTTCGGGAGAGAAGGCCGCCGGAGGCCTGGGGACCCGGGGGCGGGGGGAAGGGGGCGGGGGCGGACTTTTCAATCTTTTCTGATTCACTCGCCGGTGGAAGGACTGGTTCTGTTCGCCGGTTCATTCAACAAACTTTCCTTGTTAAGCTCGCGCTGGGCGCCCGCGGCCTCCGACTTCCGCTCGAGCTGAGTGAGGATCTGGTGGCCACACGTCCCGGGATTACCGGTGTCATCATGAATAATGTCCTTCTTCGAGCTCAAAAAGGGGGGTGGGGGGGCGGGTAGTTAAGGAACCTCGACTTTGAATTCGTGGAAGGCTCCAATTGTGCAGGAAAGGAAGGCCAGCTGGTATCTTCTCGCTCTGCACGTGCGCCTGCTGTAAGCAGATGTGTGGGAAACGTGCCTGTGTGTGGTGGAAGGTGGTCCGTGGCGCAGGCCTGGCATTCTCTGCCGTCTTTTCCCCTCATTCTGCGAGTATCGCTAGTGCCGTTTACAGAGGAAGAAACTGGGTCAGAGAGGTTAAGACACCTGCCCAAGGCCAAACAGCTAAGTGCTTGAAACCAGACTCCAGTTTATGTGGCCTCCAAAGTCTGATTGCCTTGTCTCACCTCTGCTTCCTTCTCAAAATAAATAAATGATGTTAAATAAATAAAAGACACTGTCTCTGCCATAAAGGAGTTTATGATCTATGGGGTTGAAAGTACTCCAGGTAATAACTAAACAATAAAATATAGACAAGATTGGAGACAGTTCCTAAGGCTCCGAGGGAAGTTGGAAGCACAATGATCAAAGCGAGGTGGAGGGTGTCAGCCCTTCCGAAAGGAGGCGGACGGGAGGGGGGTTTTGAGGTGGGGATTTGCTTTGTGTCTGTGTGTGTGTGATGTGCTGTCGAGAAAGAGAACAATCTCAGGGCGTCGGACCAGGGGCCCAGAACTCGGCAGGCTGGAATCTCCATGGCGAGCTCCTCTGTAAGCCCAAAGCCGCTGGTTGCCCACACTCCCTTTCTCCTTGCACCCTCCTCGGCACTTCTGTTTCTCCGCAGTGGGGCCCCGGCGGGCAGCTGCACGCAGTCCACCCTGCACCCCGGGGTCTTTGCAGTTGGTAGTTGGCTCCAACCTGGATGTTGGCTTCTCCCTTCCCAACCCCTCTCTGAAGGTTTTGGGAAATGAAAAATAGTGGCTCCTCAAAACCAAAGGACCTGGGTGAGCATTAGGAAGCCAGCAGGCTTGATGGGCGGGGAGACCAGCCGGGAGGGTGAGAAAGGAGCCACCGAACAGATGGGTCGCACCAGCCTGGGCCGGACCCGGTGATCTGGGCACACCGTGAACTAATCCGGCCCGTCAAATGGAACACGCAGGTGAGAAGCCGGTGTACCCTGTGTGCTTAATGAGGAGTC